TGCTTCCTTGGGGGACACAAGTGGGAGAGATTTGTCCCAACTGCCAGCTAGCTGGGATACAGGAAAACTTTTGACTACAGTATTGTCTTTATTTAGCTTAAGAACTGGGTATTTTACCTATCTTATATGTGAGTAAAAAAGAGTTAGGTAAAGCTGCTTGCTTAAGTGTTATAGCTGAAATATGTTAGAGCTGCATTTTTAAATCTACAAGCTTCTAATCATAACCTTCAGGCCTTTTGTAATATCATAGGACTATATAAACATGGAGGATCCTAAATAAGTAAGAGCTCCTTCATCAGGTGGCCACATAGCACTGCTTCTCTACTTCCTTCAAATTGGCATGTGCATCCCCATAAAAGCAAGAATGTTTACTTTTACTTATTCTTCTGGAAGGGGTCAAATGCACAACCAGTTTGTCTTTTTAACTTAAGCTGGGAAGAGGCAACTTCCTAACTATAGCACATTCAACCCTATTTGTTCATTTCTTCCCAACAGGAACCACAGATCGGAGGAGAAGGAATGGTGGGAGCTGGCCTGTCACCGCAACAATTGAAACAGCTACAGCGATTTGATCCGTCTGCTGTGCCACTGCAGAATGTGGACACTGATTGTCTTGGAGATGGCAAAAGAGAAGACATGATCTGGCTGGCCAACAAGGATTGCATAGGCTTCTTTATTGCAAAGTTTCTAAAATGTAAAAGCACAGAAGAGAAGGTTTCTCAGAAATGAAAATTCAGAATATTTTCTCTGTGTGTTGCTTTTTCTTACACCAAAATGTTGACAGGCCGGTGGAATGATGGCATGTTTTTTCAGCAAACTGGAAGATGCTAACAGTTTCCCTGGGATCAGAAGGAGCAGTGTGTATATGTGGCCCTGGAGAAGTGGGGGGCTGGAAAAGCATAATCTGCCTTAAATGATACAAAAGGAAAGGAGGAATTGCCTGCAGGGGGTGGGGGGGGTGTCTGGAAAATATTGTCGGTTTTAACTCATAAATATTAGTTTTTCTAATATGAAAAAATAGTCTAAAGACGAAAGAATAAAACTCTAAACCTTTCACATGTTTATGAAAAAGCTGTTTTCTATTCAGAAGATGGCAGTGGTTATTTCATTATGCATTCAGGCCAGGGGCAGTAACACTGACTGCATCATGCCTGAGGTAAGTAGGCTTGTTACCTGAGTCTCCCCACTCTCTCTGCTTAGTAATTCTAAATCAGGCCTCTTTTAATTTAAATATTTATTCACTTAGTCACTGTGTATGATCCGTGTGTGGAAGTACTGCTCATGCCATGGCATATATGTAGAAGTAAGAGGACAACTTTGGGAATCAATTGACCCCTTTTACCTTGGGTTCTGAGGTTCGAACCTATATTGTCAGGTTTGTGCGGCAAGTACTTTTACCTACTGAGCCATCTCATCAGCCCTCAGCTCTCTTAAATGAAGTTTGGAGTTGTGCTAGATAATAATCTAAAAGGTGAAATATAGGTATTTACTTTGTAGATAAAAGAGCAATTGAGAATAGTCCATATTTTGGCTGTATTTATCATTTTCTGGAATAGAAATCATGGGAAATTATAGAAAAATGGTTGGTAAGAAACAGAAAAGCAATTACTGACAGCTAAGACCTGGCCTGGCTCTGTCTGCTGGGCCTCAGCTTCTCTTGATGAACATAAGCAGCTTCACAGAACACAAGCTCCAGGCAACTGTGTCTGATAGGTAAGACAAAATAAAAGCTCTTCCTATCAAATCTGAGCTCACTTCAGACAAAAATAAGAAGCTCACCCAGTCTGCAAAAGTGACCAGGCATCCTGCCACTGTGCCTAGTCTCCTTGGATAATATATCCAGTCTGCCTGGGCCACAGTAGCAGCCTGAGTATCTGCTTTTCAGAAACTTGGTCATGTCCTCAGGCAGGCTTCATTCTACCTGATTTGGAGATAGACTCAAGATTTCCAGTACCCAGCCATATTTGAAAGGTCTCGTGTGCAACACACTAGACTGGCTTGTTATCTTTCATTTACATAACTTCCAAATTACTGGGCTTTGGTTGTGTCAAATGGACAATTGGAAGCAGGTGCTAATAGTTCCTTTTCCTTGTAGGTTTCTTGTAGGAAGGTCTCACAACAACTTACCATATCCATGATGACTACAGCAGCTCTTGGATCAGGAAAGCTTTTGGGTGGCTTCTTCCTGGAGAAGTCTCTTAGCAATTGTGATTCCAGTTTACTATGTGTTAGTTTGAGCTCATTCCTACACTTGGGAAATGTACCAGGATAGATAAACCAGGTTTTTTTTCTTCACTATCACTGCTTCAGAGTAGATAGTCAATAGGTGTTTATTAAATATGAAAAATTATATTGAATTTCCTAAGATTCAAGTATATAAGCAACCCCTTTTCCATCTTTCATTCTGGTTGTGTCCAGTAGATGCCATTTTGACTGAAGAGAAACACTGTCTCCTTGTGGTACTTCTCTTTCAGGGATTCAGGGTAGCCCCTCTGATTTTAAAAAACGCCATAGTCATTGTTTTTGGTTTTTTGTTTTCCTGCTCTCTGCACATTCTTATATGCTAAGGTGGGGTGAGAATGGGAGAGAAACAGCCTACCAGCAAGCCTGCATGGTGTCACCTTTTAGCCATTCTAGTAAATACCAGAGTGCATGCAGAGCTATCGAAAGATAACTCTGCATGTGTTTAAAACAGCAAGGACACAGAATACTGTTAACAGTTTTCCTATTAACATGGGCCATTTCCAGTGGATTTCTTCCCCTTAATTTGAAAGCAAACCACACATTCTTCAAGGACACAAAAATGTTAGAAAAAGGTGCAATAGATGAAAAAAATCAGGGACACTTGGAAGGATATTAAATATATCTTTTAAACATAGTTTTAATATAGATTATTTCTATGAAAACGGAAAAAATATTTAATTCAATGGTAAATACATGTTAACTAGAACCCTATGTTAGATTTTAGTTTATATAGCAAAGTGAATAAAGCAGTTAATAAGAGAGAGCCAGCAGTACTCCACTTGCTGGAATAAGATCAGAGCATCAAGGAGGAGCAGTAGCACCTCACTGAGCAGACAGGAAAGCTGTGGGTCCTCTTAAACATGAAATAAGCTTCTAGGTATGAATCGGGATTGTTCTACAGGTTGAATTTAGGTGGGAAGAAGATGCCTCTGGTTTACACTGTAAAAAGTTTTACCTACCTTGTTTTTGTTTATTTCTTAAATTAGACAAGAGGGGAAGACCAAAAGAACACCAGGTTATTGGCATTGGCCGGATGATGATGTTCCACATGGTAAGTGTGGGATCTAACATGTTCATTCCTCAAATGGCAATTAATACCCCTGTTAAACAGTGTAGAAGCCAGCTCTTTGTTTCCATGAATGACTTTAAAACAAGTTCGTTAAACAGTTTAGTGTCGTGACAGTACGTGTTTAACAGGAATGCAGAGCAGACAATATTAAAATGTGGCATTGTCTCGAAGTACAGTATGACGGTGAGACATCCTACGTTTAGCAGCACCTTTTTTTGGTATCATTTAAGTAAAAGAGCAGTAGAGAAAGAGCAGAGGAAAAGCTGAAATGACTGACATAGAAGTATAACACTATTAACTCTATTCCCAGCATTTCCTGGGTTGACTACAGAAAAAAGAAATAAGGATTCTACAACTGAGTAGGTTAAGATTAAGCCTTTGCTTGTGAAAAGACTGGCATTACATCCCACAAGTCAATAAATAGCCCCGTCTTCCTGGGGATTATTTTCTTATTTCTAGATCTGCTGCATACTGCTGACATAGCCCCAGTGTGCACCTTTCTACAGATGTGCCCCTATGTCAGCTCCATCAGCACTATAGAGGAATGCCCTGATGTGCAGAAGCATATTCAGAGTAAAGTGAGGACCTAAGAATTGAGTACAGAATTTAACAGGTGGACACCGTTAGAACTATTTTCTGAAAGGGATGAATGGTGACAGCAAGTGAGGGAAACAGCATCCTTCATGAGTCTGAGTGGCACAGAGCCATTCCATTGGATGCATTAACATATAGGAAGGGATTAGATCACTGCTAAACATCTGTGAAATTACTTACATGTTATTTTATGAGAACAATCTTAATTTCGGTCAGATTAATTTATACATAGTCTGTAAATTCTGTAAGCACTATACGTGCTGATTCTAAGGGGAAATTTTCATTTTATAAGCATCTAAATGGTTAAATGTGTATGCAATTCATATTTTAAATGTTTTAGTTTTCTTGGGTATAGGATAAAGTATGAAGCGTAAAACTGCTTTAAATACAAAATTGCTTTACTTATAAATGCCTAAGAATATTTGGGAAGAACCTGGAATACCAGGAAACAAATAAAAAAATATTTATTATAACCATTATTCGTTTTAGTAATATATGGATCTGGTTGGGTAATCGCAGATAGACATTTTCCTGGGAAATGCTTCAAATGCTAGTGGCCCATGCAGCTAATACAGTCTTACTTATCCATCAGCACTGGACTCCTGAGAAATACAGGTTTTATAGCCTTAGCATAAGAGCATTGTACACTTCTTAAAGCAGGCAAATTGAAGCACGAAGAAAGTGTCTTCTAGGTTCTCCTTCAGAGTAGATGTCTCATGTAAGAAAATATTCTTAACTTTTTTCACTTCAAGTCATTCCATTTTTGCCCTGATAATATCTAAGGACTTAGCAGAAACTTGGGTTATAAGAAGCACTTCTGGCCGGGTGGTGGTGGTGCACGCCTTTAATCCCAGCACTCGGGAGGCAGAGCCAGGAGGATCTCTGTGAGTTCGAGGCCAGCTTGGGCTACCAAGTGAGTTCCAGGAAAGGCGCAAAGCTACACAGAGAAACCCTGTCTCAAAAAAAAAAACAAAACAAAAAAAAAGAAGCACTTCTGGGTTCTGATGGACAGTGAAACTGTTGGAGTAGATTCCGGGGGAAGACCAGTAGGGAACTGACGATGCACAACAGGAGCAGTAGGCAAGGGGGGAAGTGAAGTGGGATAAGTTATAAAAATTTATTTCCCTACGAAATAATTGCACAAGCTGTGTAAACATTTCTTACTAAAACAAAATACTCTGACACACAAGATTGTACATTTCCAGTGGAACACTCACAGTACAAGATGCCCGTGTTTTCTCTTCTCAGGAGTAAAGCAAGAGGCAGCAGATGAGTGCTCCCCTGGTTACCTTTGGCAGCAAGCTTCTTCACATTCCCTGGCTGCTCCATGGGTTTTTAAAGCAACATAAAACACAGTTAAATACTAAGCCAGGTGAGCAGAATTCTCAGCCATCAGCCTCTAGTTTCTGCGTTAGTCTTTTGTATTCCACTTCATCTCAGTCACTCACACACTCACACTCATGTGCACACGGCGGCTTCGGCTTGGATACTCCAGTGCAGTGACTATAGCAGACACTAGCTGCTAAGAACGTGTTTGTCACAATCAGTTGTGGACTGTATGGAGTAGAAAAACCTCTGGAGTTTGGTTATAGTTACCATAATTTATGGTTAAAATTAAAAACTTCAAAGGATGGGATAACATTCAGAAATCAAACCTCAAGTCAAGCAATCACACGTATTTACAATATGTACAGGCTCTCTTTTAGAATGGGGAGAGGTGTCTAGACAATTTTATTAGAAATTTCCTGAATGTGGGTATTTCTAGTCCCTGTGATTCATAAAGCAAATCTGCTGACTTGGCATTAAGACCCTAAAATAGTGTGATCAAACTGATATATATATATATTATATATATATAATTATAATAAGGTGTTTGCAGAAATAACATTTACAAACTGTCTATACAGTACACAGTACTAGTACATAGAAAATAGATTCTAACTTTATAATCCCCTTTGTGTAAGGCAAGACTGAATCTGTCCCCAAATTTAGTCAGCCAGAGGTACAAGCAAGAAACAGTGGTCCATGAAAGAATGACACAGGCCAGGTATCTGGGTATTAAAAATCTGGAGAAATTCCACTGGTCATCTGTGCTGCGTCTGGCTCACTGGATACATTAACTACATTTTAGAAGCCACTCTGTTAAGTGGCAGCTACCCCAAACAGCTTTGGGAGAGTCCAGGGTAAAGGTGGAGGACTGCAGCTGGACTAGGCCAATTTATGTGGTACTTACAAAAGAATGTATATTAATACTTGATTGCATGCTATTGCTATTCAAGCAACAGCAATACAAAATATACAAGACAGATCACAGATGGTTGCAATGTAACCCCCAAAGATTTTGCTTAAGGATGATGTTACACAAGACTCGGGGGCAGGAACACACACGGTCATTGGCGGATGTAGACGTCTCTGTTCCACTCGCCAGCCTCGTTCCTCCTCTTGGATATTACTTCCCCTTCCTTGTCACAGTAGCGATCCTTAGATTTATGCCGGCTTCGTTGTTTGTTGCACTCGTGGTCCTGCTCGCGACCCACGTCCCTAGAGCGGTGGCGAGACTCCCTGTGCCTGTGGCCATTGCTGCTGTGGGTCTCGTCTCTGTGGTTATGTTCACGGTGTGGGGCATAGTGGTCCACATGTTCATGGGAATAGTCTTCCTTTGGCTCCACATAGGCAGAGTCTCGGCTCTCCTGGGTTTCAGAGTCAAATGTCTCTTGCCTAGAGAGGCCTCGACCTGTCCCACTGCGGTGGTTTTGGTGTGTGGCTGAGGAGGAAGAACGATGTTGGGATTTCTTGACTGGTTCCAGACAAGGTTCTTCTTCAGCTTGGGAAGCCGACCGGGGAGCAGAGCGATCAGTCCTCTGATCACCTTGAGAACCCTGGGGAAAAGGAACACATGAGGGCATCAACTAAGGACAGAACCTGAGAACTTGAAAGTGTAAGTCCGTCCCTTTGAAATACCCAGAATGCTGAAAGGAAGCCTAGCCTAGCTTAGGCACTTTTTGAAACACCTGGCGGCACTGCTTAAATTGGGCTTGTGTTCATGGTAACATTGCATTTTAATGATGGGGAAAGAATGTTCTTTTATAGTCTTGTGATTCTAGTACTAATACAGGTGCCTTATACCATAGTTTTAACTAATCTGCTTGAGTAGATTAAAACTCATTAAGATGGGGCATTTAATGGGACAGGTACTACTCTAGAACCCTCCCAAAGGAGACAGTGTCCTTAAGTCAGCCGCTAACTTTTCATTCTCCTGCCTTAGCCTCCAAAAAGGTGAAGATGCTAAGCAAGTGGTATAACATGGAACCAAGTACTCCTCCTCCTTTAAGTCAGGTGTTAAGCCCTTTGGGCTAGTGCACTATTATGGTTTGAGAAGCAGGACCAGCCAGAGAACTTGCTGAGGTTTTAACACAGAAAGAAGCAGAGCAAAAAGGGTTTGACCGCAGCCTGTCTACCCCCTTAGTTACCATGCCATTAGTGGGCTTCCGAGGCTGAGCTGCTGATAGTGTGTTCAGTTTACAAGTACACAGCTCATATGAGAGCCTTGGTTAAATGGCACAGTTAGTTTGGTTAGCAAAGGATAGTAGAGCAAGCATGGAATTACCTCTCTGGGATTGAGTCCCAGGGGTATCAGCTCAGGCAGCCTAGATTCCCTATGAAAACCATAAAAGGAAGCTCTCTTACCTGTGAATTAGAGGCTAGGGTGGGGCTCATAGGTAAAGTTGAAGTGGCTAAAGTTCGGCTAAGGAGAGGGTTGGGGAGGTTACTGCTGGGCGGGTGGGTGGCCTTCCAGTAGGCCTCCAGATAGTCGGCCAGATGCTCACAAGCATCCTCAAGCTGGTTCTCATCCAAGATCACATCAAATGACTCCTGCTAAAGCAAGCATTTCAGATAGAACATGAATGCAACCCCGGACCAAGCTCCCTCTCCTCCCCAAACGTACAAGTAGAGGAGAGGCCTTGCCCATTGTATTTGTTCTTGCCCTGTTTTCTCCTTTTCTGTTGGCTAAGTCTCTTAGCTTATGTACGTGTGTCGCCTCAAATCCTTAATTAAAACACTGAATGGTGGTTACCTGATTGCCCCAAAGTGGACAGCTGTCAGCATGATTGGTAAGGGCAATGCACGGGAGTTATGATCAGTTGTGAAAAAAAAAAAACACACAGATATGATGGTAGAAAAACATGAAAAATCTAAACAGTTTAGAAGGGTGCTTATTCTTGATACAAATTGCAGGAAGTTCTGGAAGCTAATGAGACAGGATTAGGTCATGCACTTTGGCAGAAGTAGCTCAAACTACTGACATTTTGACATCACCCAAACTTCACAGTTCAGTGGGCAGGAGAGATCCTTTACTTTTGAAGATTTAAAAATGTTGATCTAGAAATTAACGTACTTTAAATCAATCCAATCCAGCATGATAGCTTTTGAAATAGTTGTACTTTAATGAACACTAGCTGGGATCTATAGTCCCAAAGTATATAAAACTAGGAATGTGTTTCTGAGAAACTTCCTGGTTAAGATAGCTCCCTGGGTAAAAGTGCCTTCTGAGTGACTCTCCAGAACCCATGCCCACACTAGATGCATAGCATTGCGCTTCTGTAATCCCAGCACTCCTACAGGAGCACGGGGCACAGGCAAGAGAATCTTGGGAATCAGCTAGCCCGGTGTACACACTGGCCAACAACAGAGACCTTGTCTCAAACAAGACAGAAGGCAGGGCTGACACCAGCAGTTGTCCTCTGACCCCCATGTAGCCGCGGTAAACTAGCTCACATCTGCATTCTTAAATACAAAAGCCAACGTTTAGTTTGACATGATCCCAAGTCAATTTCTCAGACACTTGTTAAGAGGAGTTTATTCCCTGTGGCTAGATATGGATAAAAACCAGACTCCAAATAGGTTGATCTTACAAACCACAGTCCTGTATTAGAAAGTGAGGCCTGCCTAGGATACGTGTAGCATTTTTGGAAGGGTGATCATTACCTGTCCTACAGATGCTCAAAATGCATGGTCACACAGGCTGTGACATACTTTACTTTTTTGGAATGAATGCCATTGTAAGTAAGGAGGAGTATCTTCCCACAGTATGTAATTGCAGTTTTTAAAATGTGGGTCTGATCTCTTCAGCTGTTTGCACTATGTAGATAACTTACCGGAGGACACTGAGCCAGTTTATCAGCTGCTACCATCTGGACATTGAGGTGTTTTGCTTGAGATTTCCCTCGAGATTTTATTAACCTTTGTAAAACCTGGAAAAGGTAGGGATTTGTAACAGGAATATCTGTGCTCAGGTAAGCTACGGGGTACACTATGAACTCATTATAATATATATATATATATTATATATATTATATATATATAATACATTATATACAGTAATATAATACATGGATGAACAGCATATATCATTGAGAAATAGAATACAACAGAGATTAACCCCCAAATTAACATTCTTGCATTAGTCTCTTGCAAACATTAAACACTAGTAGAAAACTGATGCAGAGTCTTTTTCTAGCCTAACTTCTCAAACTTTCTGCTTCATGACCTATTTAAGTTTAAAAAAAATTATGAACCCCAAAGGGCCATTGTTTGTAGGAAATATTTCAAATATTTATCAGGAATCTTAGCACTGTTAATTCATTCAAAAATAAATCTAGCACATGTTAATATAAATTACTTTTTAAGAAACTTTTAATGAAAATAATGCTTCTATATGCAATTTGCTATAGTGTACAGCTTTCTTGATAGTTGTAAAGAGAACATTACAGTGTTATATAAAGGGGGCTGTGCCTCTTCAGAGAGTTGGTGACATTCTTCAATGCTATACTGAAGATGAATAAGTTTATTCCTTCCCATAAAGACCTGTGGCCAGGAAGACTCAGGAGCCACAGGGAACAGCTTCATGTACCAGATAATCGCAGTCCTGTGGTTTGTACTGCAATATGACTGGACCTTTCACTATGCTGCTGTGTAAGGTCATTCATGGCATTCTGTATCTTCTACACATTTACATACTTCATTGTTGGCAACAAATGGTTCTTCTGAAGTGTCAGCAGATCTTTCCTTAAGCAAAATCAGTCAAAGTACATAAGTCTGAATGAGCACAGTGGCATTGGTGTTTCTGCTTGAGACTGTTCCCTCTGGACAGTGGCTGAACATTTTAGTTCATTACACAGGGTGTTAAACAGTTTGTTACTACGGCATCAGGACATTCTTATGTGGAGCTGTGAGAACATAACGTGTTTGCTGCTACATGCACTCATGCTTGGCCCCCACAGCTTTAGCACCATGTGTGCAGATGACACCGGTGTGGGAAGGAAGCAGCATCTGCATTTTATCACGGAAGCGGCCTCTATATTGCAAGCCTTCTGAAATCATCTCAGTGAGCCATGGCCCACACTTGAGACCACTGCTCCCAGCCATGACACTAACCATGCTCATACTTCTCTTCAAACTTCTTGACTAGTATGGATTTTTTTCAAAAACTCTATGTCTGTAATAAAGGCATAGCTGGTGACTACTGGAAACCAGAGCAATAAAACACATGGCAGTAATTTCTGAATATAGACAAACAATGGCAACCCCACTTACCTTAGGAGAAGAAATCTTTACATACACTATAATAGGGGCCAAAGAGGTCTTACTGAGTTGAGCTGGGTGATTAATTGTATCTGCATCAAGGACTACCAATTGTAGTGTTCTTGCAAGTTCAAAAATCCTTTCGATTTCACTCTGAACTTCCGCTGTAAAGGTTAAACAGAGTTTATTTAAAAGGACACATTTTTAAACTACAGTAAACTGGAATAAATTGGCACACTATTTCTTTATCCAAAGAGTCAGCTGCTATTTTAATGATGATACTCAATATGACTGATGAAAGGTGTTGTAGTGGGTAGCCATTCCAGCTTTGGTCTGGAAGTTCCAACCCCCATTGAGGCTTCGGTAACTATCACGCCTACAAGGCAGGGCCAAGGGAGGGCCCTGAAGACCTGAGATCAGGATGCGCTGCGCTCTCTTATTTCCTGGACCTGGATGCTAGAGGTAGACCAAGGGGAGTTCTCCAGAGAACACTGCCGGACTGCGCTGCATCTTTTCCAGAACCCGCCCCCTAACTATCCCTTCATTTGTAAGTTACCCACTAAATAAATCTTCCTTTTAACTACGTGGAGTGGCCTTAATAATTTCACCAATATCTGGCACCCAACATGGGGCATGAACCCACGACCCTGAGATTAAGAGTCTCATGCTCTACCCTGAGATTAAGAGTCTCATGCTCTACCGACTGAGCTAGCCGGGCCGCAGAGCCACCTGGCCGTCCAGGTGCCCCTGCTTGGGGAGCGGCCGAAGATGGTTTTAACTCACCTATTCTTGATAAAGCAAGTCACTGTCTGCATCAAAGTCTTTACTTGGATGCTTTGAGAAACCACAACCTACTCACTTGAGATACTAACTTCAAAATAATGTTTTCTCAGATACCTCTGATACATACAGTCCTCTTACAATAAATACTACATATCACATCTGATCAACCTCTTAAGTTTACTAATTTATAAGAAACACAGGGAACAGAATTGGATAAATAATAACAGTGTAACACAGCAAAATTCAGACCATCAGAAATTTTCGGAATAAGTAGCTCGGTTTTTCAAGAAAAAAATAAAGTTTTATGAAAAATGAGAGATTTGAGACACTGAAATACAGTATATGGACTCTGTCCTATTAAGATAGTAGTTTATATATTTGTAATGAATAAACTTGGTAAAACATGTCTGCCTTTGCTTACCAATAATCTGGGTGGGAGGGTGAAGAGTCTACGTAAAACAATCTTTAGCTTTGCAGCTACCTGATGAAAGTATCACCAGCACTATATATCTACAGGTGTCACTGTCTGGAATGTCATTTCCTCCCCAGGGCAGTCCTTGTATCCAGTGATGCCCTCCTCAATTTATTCTCTGCTCCCTGGGCTCATGAGCCACTGACCAACTATCTGCGATTTTCAGTTCATTTATGTATCTTTTGTGTCCTTTGCTTCTATGACCCTGGCACCTAGAATACTGCCTAGCAACCATTAGTTCCTTAATGTTTTACCTTGCCTCTTTATGATGTGCCTTATAACTCCCTTTTTGTTAAGCTATATACTTTAGCCAAAGTGACATATGTTTTTCAGAAGCTTCTTACAATTGCCACTGTCTCAAATCATCACCTTCTCAACCACTTTCCCTTCTACATGCTTTCAAACTTTAAATCTCAGCTCAGGATATTTTCTGTGAAAACCTTCCCCATGCATGGCCTACAGCTACTGCAGCATTTATTAGCTCTTTGGCACTGGGTTCAGCTCAGGAACACTGTGTTCACTCTGTACACCAGTGACTCTTATTTGCCTTATTGCTGTTCTGAGCTCCTGCACCCAGGCTTTAGCACGTTATTTAGTACGTAGTACATGCTCAATAAAATACATGGAGTAGAAGAGGCATTTAAAAACTGCACAACCAATAGTTGTAAAGCCTTTTAGTTGGTCACTGTAAATAAGCTGCTTGACTTTGTTAATTGGTTAAATCTATGAAATGATAGCGTAACAGTTTTCTCAAGTATCAGATAAAATAAGAGATTACTATAAGCAAAAAATATCACATTTTCCTTCTTAATAAAGAACAATTATAAGATGGGGTATCACTGTGTGGCCCAGGCTGCTTTTGAACTTTAATCTTTCTGCCTCATCCTCTGAAGTGCTGAGGTTAGAGGTATGTGCCACCATACCTATATCCCTAATATATTTCCAGACCTAAAGATTCACCACTGAGTGTTTATTAGGAGACAAAATGAAGTTTTACTTTATGTGTTATGTCAACATGCATGCAGGTGCCCACAGAGGCTAGAAGAGGATATTGGATCCCTTGTAGCTGGAATTACAAGTGGCTGTCAGCTTCCTAGTGCATACTAGGAACTGAATTCCAGTTCTCTGCAGGAGCAGCAAGTGCCCTCATTCATTGAGCTATCCTTCCAGTGCCCCAAAACAGAGTTTTATGAAGTATTACTAAAAGATAAAATGTTACTGTGTCTCTCTATTTATATAATTATAGTTCAGAGTAACTGAGAAACTTGTATTCTTTTTTGTTGTTGTTGTTTTTTGTTTTTGTTTTTCGAGACAGGGTTTCTCTGTGTAGCTTTGTGCCTTTCCTGGGACTAACTTGGTAGCCCAGGCTGGCCTCGAACTCACAGAGATCTGACTCCCTCTGCCTCCTGAGTGCTGGGATTAAAGGTGTGCACTACCACCGCCCGGCCCAGAAACTTGTATTCTTAAATTCTGCTTCCCAAAGGCTTTATGAACCTAAACATGTCCCACAACTTTTAGAAATGTATAAAACCAAAAGCCTAACAATATAATAGTTAAGCATACCAGTAATTAAAACACCAAACACATATTTCAGCAAGCTATAGTGGCTGTTAGAAGTTCTGAATTTTATCTTACTGTATGTTAATAAACAATTTCCAGTTACCTCTTTATAAATCTGTAAATGCATCAAAGTCCCCACAGAACAGACAACTGACTTCTGTTATTCTGTTTGCTCTGTTATCAGCCTCAGCATGTAAAACATAGTTTTGAATATGATATCACTGATATAACTGTTCAGTGAACATTTCTGAGACAAACCACACTGCTAATGGTAGGTGGAATGTTCTGACTTAAGCTATCTTAATAATCTACACTGAAATCATTAGCACTACAGACTGTTTACATCAGTTTTTCTATATGGTACCTGGAGTTATTCTCTATTCAGATCTGCTCACTGTTACTATTAGGTAAGGAATATTTAAATAGCTTAAGCTCATTGTTATGACTGACTTACCTAAGCTTGACCTTGTGTTGGATCTCTCTATTATTGCATGCTTACTGGGATTGTTTAACACTGAGCGTTTGGCGAGGGAGATGTCAGCAGTGACTCTTGTGATGGATATCCTGTTGGAGAAAAGAGAAAACCCTAAGGTTCTTAACCAAATAAAACAGAAGTACAGCTCCAAAATTTAAAGGATGGTTGATATATATAAGTATTCACATAAGGGGCTAAAGAGATGGTTCAGCAGTTAAGAGCATTTGTTCTTGCGGAGAACTCAGGTTTGGTTCCTCACACCGACATGGTAGTTAATAACCTTCTGTAACTCCACTCTGGGAGATTCAATGTTCTTCTGACCTCCATGGGCACCAGGTACACACACACATGTATATATATATATATATATATATATATATATATATATATATATATATATGAAGACAAAACACTCATACACATTCAATAAATAAATATAAACTTGAAATACACATGTGTAAGTATCAACATTTATCTATATTCATACACATACATGTTTCAAAACAGACTTATTAGGACAAGCAGTCATTTATTATGCACCTGTTTTGCCTAGCATTTACTGATTGCTTACCAAGTCTGACTAAATTGTCCCTGAAACTTGTAAGAGATCCACATTTGCTGATGGAAAATAAATAGAAAAGAAATTACAAACAGCCTTATCTGAAACTTCATGTTAGTATAAACAAAAATTACTCTTAAAATAAATTGAACTGAGCTTCCTAATTCTGTAGTCTTAGTGCTTTTACAGTGTTGTGACATGCATGAAGAAGACAGCCTTCAGAGAACTGAGAATCTAGTGGCAGATGGAGAATGAACATAGACCCTAAATGATGACAGTATGATATGCATAGCACATACAGTCTATTATGGCAGCAGTAATGAATTGAAAGGTTTCACTTGGGGTAGAACTAAAGTAATAGTACATGGGAGCTGAAAACAGGAAGCAGCTTGTACTGGGGAAAGTTGAATATTCTGGGAATATTCAGATCGGCAGTAGGAAACTGAGAGAAACGGAAGGCTTACAGTATCCACGAAGAAGCCGGTGACAGGAAAACTACAACCAAGAGGTGTGGTTTATAGTCTAGCCCAAAGTCGGAGTCCCCAGAGCATCAAGTGGCCTGAAAAGAATTATCTATTTGGTGTAAAGCCAGAGACTTATGGGAGTAAATGAGAGGGCCCCTGATTAGGGGGCTATAGGCAGAAAAAGGGGGGCTGGGAACATTAGATGGCGAGGGGAAAAAGTGATTCTGAATGTTGAGTCCTCAATCTACTTCTCCATCTTGGTCTCTTGGAAGCCCAGCTTATATTTATTCTTTTATATCCTCTAGGTGTCAGAAGGGAGGATGCTCCTCTGGACAAACAGCAGAATGACTAAACTATGTGCACCAGATGTCTCCTCTACAGAATACTCAGCAAGAATGTCCTATAGGGAAACGAGAAGCCGGCAAGCCTCAGCTATGAGCACATACTTCCTGCTTATGCCTGTTTGCCCTTTTCTTTTTTTTTTTTTTTTTTTTTTTTTTTTGGTTTTTTCGAGACAGGGTTTCTCGGTGTAGCTTTGCGCCTTTCCTGGGACTCACTTGGTAGCCCAGGCTGGCCTCGAAC